CCCGCACTCCCGCAGCCGCGACTGGAGCCCACCTCTGCGGAGACAAAGGTTACGGAAAGAGGGGGTGAGGCTCAGGAAGGCAGAATGCGGGGGGGAAATTCGCCTGGGAAATCAGGAAAAGGGCCGTGAAGGCGAGCGGCGCCTGCACATGACCAGCCGCAGCCAATGACGACCGCAAATAGGTCATAAAAAGGTCTATTACCAAGTTGTAAATTTTCTTCAAACAAAAAGGAATTTACTGCAATTCCTTGCGGATTTTGCACGTACAGCTCGCAAGCGCCATGTTTTTTCCTCCCTTTCTCTCTTCTCTCTCCGTCCTCTCTCTTCCTCCCCTTCACTTTCTCTCTCCCTCCCCTCGATTTTCTCTCTTCCTCCCCCACCTTCTCGCACCCCCTCTCCCTCATTCCGTCCTTCCTGGCCTCCCTTCTCTCTTCCTTGTCCCCCTTCCCCCCTTCCTCGTCTGTATTTCTTCCTCTCTGCCCATTTCCTCTTCTCTCTCTGCTTCTTTTGACTCCATGGTTCCTAACTCTCTCACCTTTTCTAAGAATTTTTTTTTTCGTTTTGGTTTGCCCCTAAACATCTGCTCAATTTGGCGCTATGGTAGAGGGGGAAGGAGTGCGGTGTGCAGCCCAGGCGCTTGGTAATCCTGGCAGTCACCTCCCTCCAACTCTCCTCTTACCCTGGGAGTGGGGGATGCACTCAGCTTCTCTTCCCCTCCCCTCACAAAAGGCCCACTCCCGAGGGCAGCCAGCACTTTCGGGGTTTGCCCCTCTCATCTCCTGGCAAGCCAGAGCCGGTGATCTTGCGCAGAAAACCTGAAGGCCAAGAAATCGCATTCTCCTCCCTCACCCGCCTCCAACATAAATTGGGGTCTATCCTATTCCTTGGGGTTTCTGGGGTAGGAAAGTCACCAACCAGCTCAAAGACGGGAAGTGCTTTTAGATACCTGTCAACTCCAAAATAATAGTTTGAGCTCCCAATGCCTGACCTTTATCTCAATAGAAACATCCTCCTGGTCAGTTCTGGGTTAGAGAAGCAATCTTTCTGGATCCCCTCAGAAACCTCTTCCTCGAAGTCTCCCCTAAGTGCAGTTCTAATTTCTATGGAATTTAATTCTAGTTCCTCTCCTCTTCCTTTGTCTCCCCGCCTCCCCCCCCCCCAATGTTTGTCCATTGAAAAGCCCGCTCAATATACTATCAAGGAGGAGAGAGGCCTCATTTATTCAGTTTCAGCCTTGGGGGGGGGGGAGTCATTTTTATTCAAAGGCAGGGATCACATTCCTTTTGCACTTCTGATAGGAGCTGCTCCAGTGAACCTCAGCTGAGAGTGAATGTCCTTGGCCAGTTCTAGCATTCCCCTCATCATGAATGCATGGGCATGGCTGCCCGGCTTCGGGACCTGCCTGAAAGAGGTACCTCCTCTCATCCTTTCAAGGACACTGTCTTTGGACTTCTAGTAATGTGCTTGTAAATATTTGCATTGGATCACGGTGTAAGTTCTCTGCTATTAACATCTCCACACACACAGTGAGTACCTAAGTGGATGTGCTCCTAAGCAGGAGAGCACAGCACCCTCTGGAGCAGGCCATTTGCATTTCTTGAAAAAGTTTTGATGACCTTGGATGTTTCTGATTAAAGGTCTTATGTTGCCATCTGTCAGCAAAAGTCCTATTCTTTCTAGAAAAAGTCAGTGGGTTTTAACTTTTTTGGAGGGAACTGTAACAGCAGCCAGACTCCTTTCAAATGTTCTCTTCTCTTCCCCTGACCATCCCCAGATGCCCAAGGATTCAGCACACTGGAGAAGCACAGGACAAGCTTGGATGTGAAATAGCAACACATTCTCCACTGAAGAATAATAAAACAATGCTTTTAATGATACAAGGAAATGGGGCAAGTTGTTGGGCCCTCCCAAGCAAGAACACTTTCCAGCGGTTCTCAACCTGTGGGTCGCGACCCCTTTGGCGGTCGAATGACCCTTTCACAGGGGTCGCCTAAGACCATCCTGCATATCAGATATTTACATTACGATTCATAACAGTAGCAACATTACAGTTATGAAGTAGCAACGAAAATAATTTTATGGTTGGGTCACAACATGAGGAACTGTATTTAAAGGGCCAGAAGGTTGAGAACCACTGCTTTAGACCATTCCATTCATGTGGACCCGAACAGATTGTTCAATCATAAAAATTTCTGATAAATAATCTCAATTGACAATTTTCCTCTCCCCCTCTAGTCAAATAAAAACTGAGCTTTATGACCCTTCTTTTCACCTTGGGGAAGAAGGGCTGGGAAAAGACTCTACACTGAAAAGGCAGCCATATTTGCACTTTTTCCCCCAGTGCAGAGATAAGGGTTGTCCTGGGATTTGTGAAACATCACAAAATGGCAATCCCTGAACTGACTTTTCTCTAGGAACCATTGAGACCTACACCCTCTTTTGTTTGTTTCTGGTCCTCACAAATAACGAACCTCAATCACTAGGAAGGCTTGGTTCTTTCCTTTAATGTTAACATTAAAGTGTCGTATTTTTCTCTAAACGGTTTACAGACCTCTCTAAGCAGATTCCCTAAGCAGTACAGTGAAGAGAAGCAGTCGCCTGGGTTTGCAAAGTGTTTTCTGAAGGTTTATGCAAATTTCTGCAGCAAAACTGTTTGTTCAGTTGCCGCAATCCTCGGATGTTAACAGATTTTAGCCAATTAGAAGAGCATCTTCTGCACTCGTCACTGCAAGTCTCATAAAATACCATGATGGGCGGTTTCTAGCTACTATAAAAAAGAAGGTGGTGAGTGTGTGTGATGTGTAATTCCCAAGCTCTTTATTTGGAGACAAATCTATGGTTTTCTTAGCTACAAAAGGAAACATACATACTGACATTTATTTATTACCAACACATTCTGCACATGTGTAATCTATGTATATGTACAAATCCACCAAATATTTACCAAAAATTATCAAATCTGTATATGTACAATACTCTCAAATACACCAGTAATTGCAAGTCTTTTTCTGTACATGAGCTACGATTTTACCATGTGGTTAGGGGCAAGATGGGACCAGAAGGTACAGCACTTCCAGAGCAGCACAGAATGCAGAGGAAATAAGGATGTTTTTACTCCCCTTATTTCCACATCCATCCACACACCAGGTTCCCCACCTAATTGAATCTTGCCCGAATCAGCCTCTAAAAGTGCTATCTAGGGAGTATTCTTGAGTGGAAGAAAGCAAATTTTGCTAATAGAGGAGTCCCTTAACTGGAGGGCAGCTGGAGTTTAGCCAGTACCAGTCTCTGGCGAGCTTACCACCACCCCCACCGCACACATGGGCTTTCAGGCGCTTGGCATCCTTGCTCTTTGTCAGCCAATAGCAGTCTCAGGCAGCACACAGAGCTACATGTTTCCAAATCCAGCATGCACGTTTGCAGCTGTCTCCTCTCCTGCAAATGTTTCTTAAGCCCCAAGCCCCAAGCCATGACTTAAAATTGTCTTTCCTGGCTCAGGTCAGCGAATGCCACAGCCACGGTCTCTTCCCTAGATAGAAAGTCAGGCGGTGCTTCGCCTCTAGCCCAATCAGTGACATTTCCCTGGTCCTTCAAGTGGCAGGCAAATAGCCCACCAATGCCTGAGGGGGTGATCCAGGCCTAAAACTATAGGATTCTATTTCCTTACCTGTGCAATAAATGCCACTTTGGAAATTAAAATGTACCTCTTTAATAAGCCATCTAGGAAAAGCAAAGTTGCTTTCCCTTTTGGGGGGAGAAATGTTAGTTTACTTGGATTCCTTCTCTTCTCTCCCACCTCTTTCCCCCCTCCTCTTCTCTCATAAAATGGCAGCTGCAGAAGCGGCCTCAAATGGAAAATGGATATCTTGTTAATAACAGAGCCCAAACCCCAGCATCAGTTCGGGCTCAGCAGAATAAGCTGTGGTGTAACCTGGACTCTGGGTCGTCCCCCACTGGGCCTACAACTTGAATCCTTTGTGAAGTTCAAAGCTTTCACACTATCTTAGCAAGGTTATTTAGAGCAAGATGAAGCTACAGTAGCCTAGTCAGCCCTCTGGAATGAAAGAGACTGCCCCTGCCTGCATTTATTTATTTTTATAGCATGTAACCCCCACCTCTTTTTTTTTTTTCTAAATCAAATAGCTTTTGCCTTCATGTGAGTAAAGGAAACGCGTTATTTGCGGCGCTCAAAGACACTAGCTCTAGAAAAAGATTCATTTCTTTATTAAGGAGCTAGCTATGTTCTGGAGCGGTTGTTTACACTTGGATTTTTCTGCATTTGCTCCCAGGGTTTGTTTCAAATAGGTGAGGCCATCCTGGAGAACAACAGAGGACGTACCAACTGACATCTGAGATGCACATAGTAAGTTGGCTCAAAATGGGCAGGCAAACAGAGAGAAGAGAATACAAATAAATATGGCACCTACTCAAAAAAAAAAAAAACACCAAAAAAAACGAATCACAGAGGTGGCTACAGCACCGAGACCTAAATTTCAGTCGATACCAAATGCAGTTCAAAACAAAAGCAAGTTTTGGAAGAAGAGGCATTCCACAAAGTGACTTGCTAGAGTGAAAAATTAATGAATGAAAATGTTATAATTGGCTTTTCAAGTATTCATTCACTCTAGATTAAATTGCCATATTTGTATAGACTATAGAAAAATTATTAAATGTCAACATTGACATTGCCCTGAAACTTTTGTCACTGGCCCAGCATTCCCCCCAAGTTTAGGAAGCTGCAAAGCCGGGACTACACATTACACTCTTCAATTAACATGTGCTTTTCAAATATTTGGCCCACACTCGTCCCAGAGATACTACGTTTACAAAATAAAGAATCCTCTTAGGAGTAAACAAAAGGCACCTGAACTCACTATTATAAAAGCAGAAAGAAAAATACATAAATAATACATTTTAATCAAATAAAATAAAGTAAATATTCTGCAGGCATAATTTTAAAAAAAATTATAATAGATTTCTTTTAACTTACTCACCATAAAGAAAAGATTTAAAATGTTCAAGTGCACTTGTTTGATTAATAAAGCATTTTATATTCAATTATTTAGTGCTAGTTATTAGGAAGTTTACGTTGTTGAGGCAAATCACCAGCTCAGACATTAAAAACTACCATTATAAAAATTTTGCTATAGTTAGTATCAAATTACCCTTACATAGGACAGCTCAAGAGCTGTTTCTATGTGATACAAGAAACTTTTTAAAACACCCAAATCCCTCTCAAAAACCAGAAACCTCAAGAGCAGTGACATGAAGGTAGCTTGAAATACAGGTAAAGTCCTTCCAACCAAGAAAATAGGTGGTGTCCCCCAGCATATGTTGATCATTAGCTTTAATAGTCTGTGGTAAAATTTTAAAGGTAGAAGTTAATTCGTGGGGCCTTCAGTTCTGTCTTCCTCCAGCTCTTGGGCTTCCTTTTTAGTTTTGCCATCCTTCACCTCTTGCAATGTTTCCTTGTTGTTCTCCTTTTTCCATTTCATTCTCCGGTTCTGGAACCAGATTTTTACCTGTCTTTCCGTGAGGGCTAGGGCGTGGGAAACCTCGATTCTTCTCTTTCTGGTCAGATAAGGATTAAAAAGGAATTCCTTTTCCAACTCTAGGGTTTGGAAACGACTATAGGTTTGTCTTCCTCTTCGTCGACCAGGAGCTGCTGATTAAAAAAAAAAAAGGAAAATAAACGTTTTTTTAAAATGTAATGGTGTCTCTGCAGGTTGCTGAAGGTTTCTGGAGTGGGTTTAAGGGATGAAATATACACAACTCTCTTTAGCTCTAATATATATATATGATGTGCAGGCAAGAGAGAGAGGTCTTCACAATTATTCTGTCCCCATCATCGTTTCGTGGTTTCTACTTTAAGGGGAAAAGTCAGTATTACTTTATGAATAAGAGCCACTGTAGCAACAAAAGAAGGAAAAGGAGAGGGAGAGGGAGAGGGGTTTTAAAACTAGAACGTGAGAGGAAAGCAGATTTCTCCCCCTCTCCCCGCTTTAAAAAAAAAAAATAATGCATCCCAACCTTGTGGTCTCATCCAGGCAAACATTTGAGAAGGAGACGAGCTCTGATTTAAGTGGTCTGGGTCCTCGCCAATATTACCACGGGACGATTTACAGTCAGGATATTGTACCAGCTCGGCTTCTTGCTGGGTCGTAAAAATCGGCTGTCTCTGTAAGTTATCGTATC